GCTGATAAACAAGTTATCAGTAGTAATAGAAGGTTAAAACCCTCTTAATACCACATTTTTATCCACCTGAACACCACTACACATCTACAATGAAAAGAGACATGAACTGGCTACATTGCCTAAATCTTTCCTTTTCCTAGAGGCAGTTATACAAAGGATGATACAGAACTTCTGTTGCAAATTCATTTTATAATTAGTTTCCAAAAGATTTAAGTTTCATCAGAACACAGCTTATGTCTCTATTGCAGAGAGAGTGCTGAGATCATTGAAAAGTTCACAAGACCTTTGCTGATTTAGGAGCTAAAGATACTCATCAGGAGAATTTGATAGCAACTTGAAATCCTAGCAGCTAAACAATACAAGCTTTTGTGTTTTACTGATGAGAACGATAAATTCAGCATCCAGAATTACATTAGGATAACATTTAGAAAAATGTTTTTAAATTTGTACTAATTTTTACATGTATTATTGGCCGTTGAATAACATAAGAAAAAGAAAGTTGATTTTCAGTATTTTGCTAGGTTTGTACTCTTAGGATCATAAAGAAGTGTTCCTGAATCTGTAACTTTAATGTAAATACAGCTCACTATTTTTAGCTCAATACTTAAATTATTCTAAAAAAAAAAAAAAATCTTTTGAAATTCTCTACAACCTTAGTATTATTATTCCTTGCCACTTACAACTATTGTACAGTAGTTTCTATAAAATGCCTTTCTGATGTAGAAAAAAAATCTGTATTATATTCTACACTCTAAATGGACACTAACTGTTATGATACTGTGGTACTAAATGAGATAAAGAACTCAACTGACAACTCAGTGGTCTTCAGACAAGTCCCAGAATTCACAGCTTAAAAAAAAAAAATAGAACAGAAACAATGGAAAAAGTCCTGCTCTGGAAAATACTTTTCAGGTAAAATTGCAACTCATCATCTGCTGCTGGAAACATTTCCGTGAATAACAAAAGGCTACACAAGAAGTACCACATTAATTTGAGGAGTTAAGAGAATTAAGATGAATGCTATCTACAGGAGGTGTTCTAACTTTAGGCTGAAGATTCTGTACATATCTTCGATTTACCCACAGTATCTGACAAGATCAGAATCTTGGTTCAGTTACTGCATAGAAATGAAACAGCTCTCTGTCTTACTGTCCCGCCATACAGAGAATTTATTACACCTAAAATCAGATGCTTCATTTGAATGCATTGAATGAACTGAGTTTCTGGTCTTGCCAGATACTGTGGGTAAGTCAAAGATACAGATCATAGATTACTTCCCCCATTAACACAACTTGAGGGCATGAGCCCACCGTGGCTGTTGAGCCATTTAATAATTCTCTCTTTCCAATTTCAAATATCCTAGAGTAAAGCTATTAAGATCCTTCTGTGGGGCATGCAGGTAATAGTCGGTGCTCTGTGTGCTGTACTGTGATGAATTTATTCCAGATAAAGCCAAGGGGAAGCAACAGAGACTGGTACCCAAAGTCAGACAACTGACTTGTTAGATGCATAAAGGAGACTAAGTGGGACTAGCACAGGTATTCACATCACAGGTGTCTGTGTTTGGTCAAGTGAATGCCATTCTAAGAAAATCTACAATGATTTCTTAAACAACAGGGCATATATCCAATTGACATAAATCCCAAAACTCAGTAATGGAGAAGTGGACTGAAAGTGTCACCTCAGGAACTAGGACTTTAAGTATCAGTCAATAAAGTTATATGCTTCTCTGGTGCCATCATTCCTGGGAGCCTTTTTTGAAAAGATTCCATCTCTCTTGTCATTAAGAGTCACTAAATCTATTTATACCATAATTTCTTAGAAAACCATAGGGTACTGGAGTTCTTAGGGGCATTTTCTGTAGTATTTAATATAATTTCTGAGTTAGATTGTTAGTTTTCCTGAGCTCTCTATGATATTGCTGGTGACAAGAAACTTCTACAAAAGGTGATTCAGAATAAAGTTGAAAGGTAGCTGCTTTAAAGAAATCAGCCTGAGCAAAGTGGTACACATGCTATCACATAAAACTCACCACAAAACTAATTTCTGGATTTTTGGAAGCCAGCATACCAACAACAGGGCAAAGCTAAGAACTTATATGTAGAATAAAATCCACAAAAAAAAAAAAAAAAACAACCCACCATTGAGATTTTATATCTATTGTTTGCATTTTTATTTTATTAAAGATATTGTGGATATTTTTGTTGTTTCTCTTCTTAGCAAAAATGCTTCACTTAACTCCTAGAATGTAGGACCAACTAGAAGTTAGATTAACAATCACTCTAGTTTGAACTTGCAAAGAAATGTAAATTTTTTAGCAAGGAGCTCTTTTACTTTGCTTCTTTTTCCCCAAATTCTAAAATTCCCTTCCTCCTCAAATTATACTGCAGTTACTGGTATTGTAAAAATAGGAAAAACAGGTGATGAATGTGCACATTCAGACTTATCAAACTTATCCTTGACCATATTGAAGAAAGTTTCTTCCTGTCTGTGTATCATGTTCCACAGAAATAACTATTTATTAACCATATCTTTATAATAATGATAGGACTTCAGACATGAAAAACTAATGTCTTCTGTCACTAATCTGAAGCAATATTTTACAGTTTCTTCAGAGGAAAAGTGGGTTGGAAGTTAAACTTAAAACACCCAAAGGGAAATTACCAAAGACTTTTTTCAGGATTTATTTACCCCCTGCTACTATTATTTATTTAACTATTCCTTTGGAAAAATAGAAAATTTAAAAAAAAAACCAACATTTTTTGCCATTAGAAACCATGATAGCAAATACTATTTTATTTCCATGGCTTGAGTTTATTTATAGTAGGTGACATACAGAGTAGCGGAAAAGGTCATTTGAGCCTTTATTGATCACCATGTTTGTCATACAAACCTGTCTGTTTACCACACCTGACAGGTTGGCCACATCATCCATCCATTTTGTTAATGTTTTTTCTTTAGGGTTATTTTTTTTTTTAAAAAAGGTGGGGGAAATACTTTGATTAGGTTACAAAATTAGACCTGACAACCTAACAGATAACACAAAGCATAACGTTAGTAAACAGATAAATTGAAGCTAGAGGCAAAATGAGATAAGGATCTCCTAAAAAACCTGGAAACTAATCTGTTACAAGAAAGAGGTAGTAAACTTTTCTCCTTGCCTACTATCCCGTTGAATAGTGGTGCATCACTTTAATGAAATGAGGCTCCAGCTGCTCACTGGATAGCAGAGATTTCCATAGGGAATTACACGCAGAAGTGTGAAGTCTTTGAAGAGATACGCCATCTCAATGGAAGAAGTTTTCATTGATAGATCATGGAGATATAGGGTAGCATGACCCCCTGTTCAATGAAAGCAGCTTTAGAGAAGAGATCCTATACTACTCACCTGCTTGGACCTGAAATTCCTTTTAGGTTGACATATAGCTATTCACCTGAGGCCTTTTTTCAATTCTGCCTACAGCCAATTTTCTGACTTCTACAGGAAATCTTATTATTAAAGTTGAAATCATCATCATGGCAACTGAAAGCTCCTAATTTATCTGGTCTGCTTCCTTTCTGTGAAGCATTATTCACAAGGTCTCTAATCTACCATAACTCAGAAGGCAGTAGCAGTGATGATATTTACAACAGCACCTATTAACCCCTCCCACTGCAGATCCTAGTTAGGTTGCATGACCTAATTGCATTACAGTTCAAGATAATATGTTGTGGATTTTTACCTCTAAAACCATCTCCAGTAGTTATATAATCATTGTCAATTCACGTAATAGATCAAGGCTAGACTAGCCTATAAATGGCAAAGTTCACTGAACAGCAAAATAATTTTAATTCTTTCTTGCAAAAACAAAATAAATGTAAGACTTAAAATAAATGTAAGGCTACCAGTTTGTGAATCTATTAAAAGCTTCAGAGATATAAGTTGGGTTTCTGTTGGCAAATCTGGCTGCAGAATCAGAGCTGAAGATGAGAAATTTTGGGCATATCTTGTTCCCACTGTATTGCTTCTACTGAAAAAAAATCATCATAGCAGTATATTTTATGGGTGGCAATATAAAGTTCATCACACAAAACGTTTTTTAAAAAAGCAACAAACGCTTTTTATAAAGATTTTTTCATTTATAGGTGGTTATTCATCAAAACTTACTGAAGTTTGTTTCTTAAAAAAAAAAAATAGCAAATTTTTGGTACCCCCACACCCATACACAGTTTCTTAAGATTTCTCTTTAGAATGAGATATTTTATTGAACAGGAAGCTGCTGCCTGGGAGCTCAGTGGAAAGTCTTAATGAAACACTTATCTTAGACAATGATTAGTAATATGGTCAGTGAAAACTGATTTTCTCACATTTAATCTCCTAATCTATTTTACATTATTTCCCAGGGGTACCGTGAACTTCACAGACACATGGCTTTGTGCAAATAACTATATGGAAGAATCTTGTGAGTTTGAGAGTTGCTTTGTAATGGTTAGCCAACTTTCCAAGTAGACTTTTCCCTTTCCTGAAGTAGTTAAATGTAGTGTAAAGAGCCCAGCAATGTCATTTGTAAAAAAAAAAAAAAAAAAAGAGATTGGATTATTTGGAAGTCATTCAATAAAAATTCATTTACTTTTTGATCTTGGCAGTATACCCCAAATGCATGTTATTAGGTAAGCTCTCTGAAACAATAGGTAAGGATGCCATGTTAAAGCATCTTTCAATACCTGGCATAAGTTCATTACACACTATGCAAAGCATATCTCCCCAGAAGATATTTTTTAACACAAAAAATATTGTTTGTTCCTCATCATATAAAAACTCTTAGAGTTGTGCACCTCTGGTAATGCCACCATATAACAAACTGTGAATGCTGTGAATCAAGAAGAGGGAAGAGAACAATTGTCACAACTCAGTGGCTAGCATCACCTTTTGGGTTAAGATTACATCAAAGGATTTTTACAAATTAGTCATATACTCATACAGGTCCATGTAGAATCTTTTGTATTTTTCTCCACACTAGGATTACAAATGACTAAATGATTGCAGATGACACAAAACCGAGAGGAGTGGATGGTATACCACAGGGTTGTGCTGCAATCCAAAGGGACCTTGACAGGCTGGAAAAATGGTCTGGCAGGAACTTCATGAACATTAAGAAAGGTAAGTTCAACATCCTGCACCAATAACAACTTCAGGCACTCAATATACACTGGGAATCACCCAACTAGAAAGCAGCTTAACAGAAAAGGACCTGGCAGTCATAGTGAACATGAAGCTGAAGAAGAGCTAGCAATGTGCCCTTGCAGCAAAGGCGGCTAAGGGAAAATAGCAGAAGATTGGCAAGCAGTAGCATAAATGCACTCAAGTTACTTGCAGCTGAGTTGTTGAAAAACTCATTTATTATACTAATTGTTGTCTGGTCTTGTGAGTTTGACAAGCAGAACATCTGTGTTTAGATAACATAGGCCTATGATAGACTCTATGCACCCTATTGACCAAGTTTGAGACTTCTGACCTGTTGTGGAAAGATTGAAGCACAATGGTAAACTACACCTGTGTGAAGCTCTGAATACACAGGTGAAAACAGCAGGGTTGGTGATCATCTAGCTCCGTGCTGCCTGCATCCCCTTCTTTCATGCCTCTGCCTAGGTGATGCTTTGGGGATTCCCTAGTTGGTGAGGTAGTGAAAACAAATTTACTCTTTGCATTTCATCCATGGTTTTGTGGTGGTTCCTTTGTCCTATCTGTGCTGGCTTACACAATGGTGAAGGGTGTCCTGGGGTGCATTAGACAAAACATTACCATCAGGTCAAGGGTGGTGATCCTTCTCCTTTACTCAGATATGGTGAAGCGACACCTAGAGTGCTGTATTCAGTTCTGGGCTCCCAACTACAAGATAGACATGGATGTATTGAAGAGGGTCCAATAAAAGGCCACAGGACTGATTAAGGGACTGGCGCATCTCTTGTATGAGGAAAGGCTGAGAGAGATAGTACTGGAGAAGAGAAGGTTTAAGGGAAATATTATCAGTATGTATTAATACCTGAAGATAAGGTTTAAAGAAAACAGACGGGTCTTTTCAATCGTGCCCAGTGACAGAATCAGAGGCAGTGGCCACAAACTGAAACATGGATAGTTCCCTTTGAACATAAGGGAATATTTTTATACTATAAGGGTCACACAACACTGTCACAGGCTGCCCAGAGCAGTTGCAGAGTCTTCATCTTCAGATATTCAAAAGCCACCTGGACACGGTCCTGCGCACTCGGTTCCAGGTTACCCCACTTAAACAGGTAGGTTGGACTAGATCATAGAATAGAATCATAGAATACTTAGGGTTGGAAAGGACCTTAAGATCATTAAGTTTCAACCCCCCTGTCATGGGCAGGGACACCTCACACTAAACCATATCACCCAAAGACTCGTCCAACCTGGCCTTGAACACTGCCAGGGATGGAGCATTCACAACTTCCCTGGGCGACCCATTCCAGTGCCTCACCACCCTAACAGGAAAGAATTTCCTCCTTATATCCAATCTAAACTTCCCCTGCTTAAGTTTTAACCCATTACCCCTTGTCCTATCACTACAGTCCCTAATGAAGAGTCCCTCCCCAGCATCCCTATAGGCCCCCTTCAGATACTGGAAGGCTGCTATGAGGTCTCCACGCAGCCTTCTCTTCTCCAGGCTGAACAGCCCCAACTTTCTCAGCCTATCTAGGTGACTTCTGGAGGGCCCTTCCAACCTCAACCATTCTGTGATTCTGCAGCTCTGTAAAAAAGCTACTTACCTTTTCATTAGATGAGTCTACAGGCTGTGCTGTAGAGAAAACCATGACCAGATTTAGCCAGGGTCAGAAGAAACTTTTCTCATGAGGCTTAACTGGCTTTGGTCAAGCACACTGACTTTCTTCACAAAAATAAATTTTCTATATCTCTGTGCAATTCCATTACAACAGTGGTAATACTCAAGGTGCTTGATTATGGCAAAGTACAAGCTCTTAGCTATAAACCTCAGGTAAGATACTGGAGGCAAAAGTTAATTTACCAAAGTGTTAAGTGTTGCTCAGATTAGCTGATATAGTCTTTGATTTCAGTGAAGGGACTGAGATCTGCAGGGGTACCTTCAGACTAGTATGTCCCTCCAGTTTATTCAGTTCACTATCTAATAGACTCAAGGAATTTGGCTTGCCTGATAGCCCATAGTATGTGATAGCTCTGTACTCACATATTATAGGGATGTACTGTATGACAATTGTCCATAAAAGTTTAAGCTTGCTGTTGAATCTATCAGTGCTTGTATCCATATCTTTCTTTCACTCATTGATGAGTCAATAGGTAAAACATATTTAACATTTATTTATTCAATCTTTATCTCATGTTTCTGGAAATTCTTTCATATGAACAGTGTCCAGTGCTATTTTCAGTGCTCAAAGATTTCTGCCTTTATTTCTAATGCAGCCTAAACCCCCACTCCCATATCTCTAAAAGCTTCTAACCTCTCTCTGGATGTTACAGAGAGCTGTTTCTTTCTTCGTGCTCATTCTGCTTCATTTTCTCCTCTGACTTGTCTCTGTGGAGCAGAACTTCAGGGCTATTTCAGATTTCTTTGTCACATTTTTTTTTGCCTTACAGGCTTTTTCCACATGCCATTAACTCATTGTCTATATCATTTTTCTAAAACCCATCTTTTACCCTATAACTTACTTGATAAAATATATCCAGTGTTATATGCAGCCATCCATCCAGTGATGGATTAAACAGTGCTTTATGGTCTAAGTCAATATGTTTTCACACTTCTTAGTCTTATCTTCCTCTTGATTAGACTCAACTTGTCCACGTCAGAAGAAATACGTTACATGTTGCTCAGAGCCCTATGGCCAAAGTAAGTTTTGTGGCTTCATTTTATGACTCTGAAACTGTCAGATGGGAAAGGCACTTCATCCTCCAACACCCACATTGAAACTAAGCTCTTTACTGCCCTATATTGTTTGGTAACTTGCTTCAGCTGAAGCATCTGTTTGTTCCCAAACACTCAGTCTTTTTCCCAGGCTGTTGAGGTCTGTGGATCAAGGATCAATATGCTTTTCAAATCCTTTTTTAAAATCCATGTGTTTACCCATCCCTTTATCAGTGTTAATTTTGAGTAATATGTCTGCTTATACGCTTCTTTTTAACTTTTTGTATTGTCACAAGACATGGTAATCTTTAAACCATTTATTTTGATCATGTGGATATACACAGTGGTACGCTATCCAAAAAATGCACTTACTGCTAGTTTAAAACCTGAGCTCTACCCTCTGAATTTGTTAGCCACATTCTGAGTTAAACCTTCCTTTCCTTAAGACTAGATTTTACTTCCCTGATGCTAGAGGCAGCAAACATCCTGCCTGTCAGCCTTAAACATTTTATAGGCACTTCCAGGCTTTCAGTAAGACAGAGAGTGAATCTTGCTGGGAGTCTACCTGAGCCCCAAGGAATAGCCTATCCATTATAATTCTCTAGTTTACTACCAACCATAACTCAAATGTATATCACAATCTAGACTTCTTTAATTTTGCATAAGAGCATAACACATGCAAAATTTAATAATAGTAATGTAAAAAATTTCCATTTTTCTTGTCTTTTTTTTTTTTCCTGAAAGTGTTTTCTTTGCCACTTTGTAAAGTTTACTGAATGCAATCCTTGAGGTATCATGAGCAGTCTTCCAAAAAGAAAAGCTGAAAAACAATTTGAACAAATACTAAGTCAAGTAAAGCAATTCAGTTAAACAATGGTGGAATGGTATGTCACAAGGCTGAGGAATGAAGTACCTACTTCTGAGTGTCTTAATTAAACTGGGGATTGCACACAAGGGGTTTAATAATCCAGTCATGTTTTTGTGTGTGTTGTTTATGGATTTTGTTGATATAATGAATGTGGTAGTGGATCTATTCTACTGTCTCTCCTGGAATACAGACTCTGCAGTAACAGGCAAAGCTGCATGACTGATTTGAAGATATTATAATATAAAGGTAACTCAGTTGTTACTTGTGACAGTCATCGGTTCTTCTGCAAGAAAGCAACTTTTCTTGAGTTACTGGGGTACAGGCACTCAGCCAGACCAGAGTATAATGCAAAGATGACTGTGTTGTTCCATCTCTGCACATCTGTAAATACAAGCAGATTCAATGTACTGGTTAGGCAATACTAAGACATTAACTCAGGTTGGCATACTTAAGGGTAAAGGAATACCACAGAGCCTTTTTGCACATCTGATTGAGGAGGAAACAGGTTAGGAAACTAGACAACAATCTTTGAAAGCAGGACAAGGCACAAATCCCTAGTATTGTCAGAAAGTGATGAAGAATTACAGTGGATTTAATATGAAATGGTACACCACAGAAAGTGCATGTATACAGTCTGGAGAAGTTATTATTTTCTCTGAAAAGATTAAAAAAAAAAATCTTGTTTTTTCTCAATTTGTCTTCTTGGGAACAGCTATATTGACATCAAAATTGAAATATGTCAAAAAAATTTAACAATTTTAAATTTAAATATTTTAAATTCAGTTTTTGGTTTCAAGGACTTGGCTTATTAAGACTAGACTGTTATTAGAAGGTCATTCAATATTTGGTCAAAAATTTAAATTCCTCATGAGGGTTGCAAATTTTGCAAGAGAAAACATCACACTACCATGTGGCAATCAGTTTTGGCCTTTACACAGCTTTCACATCTTTGCACATCCTATAAAGAACAGCTTCAAAGTGAAAAAGGTGTGTCATTTCATTGTATTAGCTCACTGTCTTTTTATTGCTGTATCATTTTAGAAATTCAAGAGAATTATAGTTTCATATTATCTAAAACTGCACATATTCTGTGTGAAGGCAACACATACATGTGCATAGAGATATAAAGTCTTAAGAGCTCTCTCTGAAGGCATTGAGGAAAACAGTATGTCTCATAGGAAGGAAAAAACTTAGAATTCATATAAATTTATTAATTATTCCATTTAACTGCTTAAGGGCAGCTTTATGAAACAAGTTGCATTTATATAGCATCCTGATAGCTACTTAATTGTGCATGAATAATAAAGGCATAAAATCTTCAAGAAAAGCTCTGAATTCAGAATTTAACTACGAATCAAAGCCTTTTTTTTTTTATATTAAAGTCTTAATTTTGAGTACTGGTGAATGTTATGTTCAAGTGGTCTTAAAGACCCTTTGGGAACTCCCTATGGGAACTTCTGATGCTACTTTTCGAAAGATGACTGACATCACCCACAAAAAAAAGTAAAATTTAACTTTTTTTTCCTTGAAAACCACTTCTCTAGTGTTCCACAATGCAATGCTACTGACTGGAAACAAAGCTGGCAACAAGAAGCAGTTCTAGGAAGATGTAAAGAATTCTCTCTGTATATATGTATGTTTGTGCACATTTTTAGCTAAAGGCGTACAGTATACGTATGTCAAATAGCAACTTCAGACAAGCTGGTTGGGAGGAGTAGGTTTAAGAGCAGGTTGAAGGCTGCCAAGTACGCGTCGGCACTGCCATCTGGTGTTAGTGGTGGCTCCATGCCTCCTCTGTGACGCGCCCTAGCTGGGGAGTCCTTCCCTTCAGTTCGTCCAGTATCAACCTACCAATAGGTCTTACGAACAAAGAAACCTCACCGGAATGGTGTTCTGCTTACAATGATTTCACAGAATCTATTTGTAAAACAGGAATGTTACAACGACTTGTGTGAAACCAACACAGAAACTGCAAGTGTTTTCCTCTGGAGGGTGGACACACTGGGCTCTTCCCTTTCTCGTACCAGCTTTTGTAATGAGAGTCCTATGTTCGTCCAGTCTCACCTGTCATTACCTTAATTTTTATTCCTAATACAACATAGTAATGATCTAATTAAAACTGCAATGGGGAAAAAATAATACAGGGAAAACTAATACAGGAAAAACTAATGCAGACCAACAAACATAGCTGTAAGTCTCCTTCCTCATCCTTTGGGACTTCAGTCAGGCTGCTCAGAGAAAAGATCAGGGAACAGTGTAATACTGCAGTCCAAGCAGCAATTTTGGCACTTACCCATATCCGGCACCTGAAAAAAACAAAAAAAAAAAACAACAAAAAAAAACTGAAACTAAAAACAAACAAAAAAAAAAAAGAAAAACACACACACACAAAAAGAAACCGCCAACCAAAAAAAAAAAAACAAAACAAACCTAATATTTATTTATTCCCAGATTTTCAAAATAAAAAAATTAATATGCGCAACTGTATTGCACTGCTGCACTTAAAGCTGCCAGTGCTTACAAGCACTCCAACCCAGACTACTTGAATTTTCAGTAGTCAGGTCAGTTCACACCATTATCTGAGAAGTGTCAGTATTTAATCCAGTGATCCCCTGGTAAATTTTTAAAAGTGTATTGCTTTGAAAATCAGTAGCTATAATGGGGGGAAGAAGGGGGAAGGAAGGAGGAAAGAAACCAAATGAAATCCAAACGGCATGGGTAACAGTGTCTTTTCTAAAACAGGGGCAGTCTTTCATTTCCATAACAGCTTGCTGGAATCCACAGACACCCAGCAACCACTGTGCTGTCACAGGTGGAGGGGCAAGAGTGGAGATTCATGGCCCTGACAGCTCCTTACTGATATTTATTTTCATTAGAAAGGAAAAGGAGAGAATTGCTGTAACATAAAAAATAGCTACATTAGACTTTTTCAGCTTCAGGATAATCAGCCTGCTGCAATTCAGCCCACCCTCAAATAAACAGGGACAGAAATCTATATTGTTATTAAGTAGGGTTTTTTTCCTTTGTGCAACAGGTTAGTTGTTCTTATTTTCATCATTGTAATTTTAAATCATTCAGTGTGCAACTGATGTCCATTTACTGCAGTTCCTCTTGAATCTATATGGACAAAACTTTGCAGTTAAACATTTGTGTAACCAATACTTGATGCATTTACCTCCCTGTTCTCTGGAATCTAATGGGCTCATATTTTATATTATTAAATATATTTAATCACTCTGGCAAAGCAAATATTGATTGAATTTTGCACTTGGAATGTTTTTTGTTATTAGGCCAGAAAATTTTCTATATGACATGAAAAATCTTTTCTGTAACTCCTAGTTTGGCCTATTTTGTGTCAGTTTAGATGTTCAGCACTTTAAATACGGAGGTACTTAAATGCAGGGTTAAGAACTGCACATACAGCGTTATTTACTACTTCACACAGAATCATAGAATAGTTAGGGTTGGAAAGGGCCTTAAGATCATTCAGTTCCAAATCCCCTGCCATGGGCAGGGACACCTCACACTAAACCATGTCACCCAAGGTTCTGCCCAACCTGGCCTTGAACACTGCCAGGGATGGAGCATTCACAACTTCCCTGGGCAACCCATTCCAGTGCCTCACCACCCTTACCTTAAAGAACTTCTTCCTTATATCCAATCTAAACTTCCCCCGTTTAACAGTCCCTAATGAAGAGTCCCTCCTCAGCATCCCTATAGCCCCACTTCAAATACTGGAAGGCTGCTATGAGGTCTCCAAGCAGCCTTCTCTTCTCCAGGGCTAACAGCCCCAACTTTCTCAGCCTATCTATCTTCATATGGGAGGTGCTCCAGTCCCCTGATCATCCTCGTGGCTCTCCTCTGGACTTGTTCCAACAGTTCCATGCCCTTTTTATGTTGAGGACACCAGAACTGCGCACAATACTCCAGGTGAGGTCTCACAAGAGCAGAGGGGCAGAGCCACCTCCTTCGACCTGCTGGTCACGCTCCCTTTGATGCAGCCCAGGATACGGTTGGCTTCTGGGCTGCAAGCGCACACTGAAGCTGGCTCATGTTCATTTTCTCATCGACCAGCACCCCCAAGTCCTCTGCAGGGCTGCTCTGAATCTCTTCTCTGCCCAACCTGTAGCTGTGCCTGAGATTGCTCCGACCCAGCACTTGGCATGGTTAAACTTCATGAGGTTGGCATCAGTCCACTTCACAAGCGTGTCAAGGTCTCTCTGGATGGCATTCTTTCCCTCCAGCATATCAACCGAACCACACAGCTTGGTGTCATCAGCAAACTTGCTGAGGGCGCACTCAATCCCACTGTCCATGTCACTGACAAAGGTGTTGAACAAGACTGGTCCCAACACCGATCCTTGAGGGACACCACTCGTTACTGGTCTCCAGCTGGACATTAAGCCATTGACCACAACTCTTCGCATGCGGCCATCCAGCCAGTTCTTTATCCATCAAGTGGTCCACCTATCAAATTGATGTCTCTCCAATTTAGAGACAAGGATGTTGTGTGAGACAGTGTCGAATGCTTTGCACAAGTCCAGGTAGATGAAATCAACTGCTCTACCCCTGTCCATCAGTTCCGTAGCCCCATCATAGAAGGCCATAAGCTAGCTTTAAACTTTCCATTTGTACATGGTTTCTATATATTAAATTTGCTAGGAAAATCAGACATTGTTATGAATAATAGCCAAAATACATTTGTACTTAAACAGATGAGAACACAAATAATGAGCTTATAGACTTCTTTTTAGTTAAGAATCCATCAGAGTTTTTCCACTCTGATCTGGAGTGTGTTTCTTTAGTTTGTGACCAGATCTTTTTCAAACACATGTAGTCCTACATAGGTTAATGCTTCTGATTTGTTAGCCACAAACAGAATTTATCTTGTTTTAAATAATAAAATTACTAATTTGAGTATGTTTTATTGTTTCAATATTGTGATATGACTAGACAGTCCTCTCTCTTGATCTTGAATTGAGCTACAGAGTGGATTTCTGATACTTTCTTTGTCCAATTCATCTAATAAGAGTAAGGACTTCCCAATACTCACCTCAGATGTGTCTGATCTAAGGCATACATCTATCTTCTTCTGTAGAAAATGACACTTCCAGTGAGAACTTTTCTATCATAGTACAGAGGTCTAAGGCTAGGAAGCTGCAGTCTTGATATTGCCTTCTCACTGCAGGGAAGGTACCTTATTTGTGCCTGGTAGTTCTGGTATCTAGAATTCTCCTACAAGCAATGACACTGAGTCATGCCATAGCTTTGGCATAAGCTGCCTTTGGAAGGAGACTCCAGTAGACAGGGAGACAATGCACTTCATCTCTTGCCATCAAGCTGGGATCTGACAATTGCACATAGGAAACTCGGCTGCTTGTCATTCCTACCACACTGACATCATAATTCCAGCCTAAAATGGGTAGGAAAAAGTGCTTTTTTTCTTTACTGACAAAAAAAAAGAAGAGAGAGAGAAAAAAAGTACACTTAAATTATAGACAATTGTACATTAAAATTGAAGATGACAATGATTAAATAAAATTAATTCCACCTTAAATGGTATAGGTCATGAGTGTTTGAAGGATTTGATACATCTGATGGTAAGTTGGTTTGCTATCATGCTTATCAAAGGGGAAGTTCTTGTAATACTGTGGTTTTCTTTCATAGGTGACACTACTATATACTGTTCTTCACATGCGACACAGCTTGAAATATTGTGATAAAATGAGATGCTTGCGGAAACGATCAGCAGTGTCATTCTTAGGAGTCCTTGTCATTTGCTTGCTCTTCATGAATTTGTACATTGAAGATGGTTATGTTTTGGTAAGTTTTTCAGGTGGAAGAAATGATCCTGGAACAGCAGAACATGATGCATCCCTGGTTAAGAAGTAAAGTTCATAATTTTTGCAAGTGTACCATTTTTGTTAGTGTACCATTAACTGCGAAGTATGATTAAAAAGTGGTCCTTATAATGAAGCCATCTTATCAATATATGCTACACATAGTGTGTGTCAGTAAGACCCTAACAGTCCTTTTCATAGAAGTAAATATGTCATTGTGTATTGGAAGTATGGGAGATAGTGAATGTAGCAAAACATGGAGATATCTCACCAGGTATCTTACTTTGAGTCCAAATAATTCCTGTATTTTCCATAGCTGTGGATTTCTCTCAATTTTAATTGCCTCCATCTGAAATATTCGTATGAGCTAGGAGCCACTTTTTCAGTCCACAGTGTGAATTTCACCTCTGAAAACTGTATTAAACAATATTATAGAAATATAATTATAGAAGAGGACTTATACTAACCTGATAGATTTTAAGCTCTTTGCATGAATAACTTCTTTTTAGTGCTTTTATTTTTTGCTTTTTGCACTTTCTATATCTCAGATTTGAGTCGGGGGGGGGGGGGGGGGTCAGTGTTACAGTGTTAACAATTAGACATAAATGATACCTAGTGAAAGCTTATGTGTGAAAGAGATTTATGGAAAGATTTGTGTTAGGGATTTCGACAAGTAACCTACTGACAATGCAACATAACTCTGCAGTTTATATGTAACCTCTGGGTGTCTCAGTGCTGAGCATCAAGTGAGCCCTGAAGACTTGATTAATTGATTGAATTTTCAGTACTTTTGCAAGAAGGTTGGACTAAGCCCAGTAAAAGAATATGGTAGCTTAATAACAAGATTACAAATAGTAAAATGACTGAACTGAGTATCTAACATTGTGATATGATTAGATAGTCCTCTTCTTTGATCTTGATTTGAACTACTGTGTCTTTCTGTGCCACCTTTTGCCTGATTCATCGAACTGGGACAGGATGGGCTTTCCCATATACTGAAAGGTGAAGTCTGATCCCAGCTGGATTTGAAAAGAGACATCATAGTATGAAAAAAGCGCAATACACAAATAGTAAAATCCTAACACAGATTTACCAGAACCATAGATAACTTGCTAGTGATTTTAATTTAAAATATTTTACTTACAACAATATTAAATATTTACAATATTAAGACTATGCTAGTACTTTTTAAACCATTGAAAACACATGCTTCTAGCATGTTACTCCATTACAGAAAAATTGCTTTCTCTAACAGTATTTGTACTAGGGTTTTGCACTGTTTTATTTATTCATCATTTTTTGGTTGTTATGAAATTTGACCTGGCTTATCACATATTTATTTTTTCCAGTGGTATTTTCCCTGATGCTTCTTCTCCACTCACTAATTGCTTCAAAGTCCCCCAGATGTTTCTGAAAGTGCTTTTATTATCACTGCTAATGGTGTTCCTCTTGGTTTGTTTTTGAAATCTTTTCCTGTGCTATTTGCCAGCTCCCCAGATGGCTCCATGCCTTATTCCTAATTTGCTGGTTTTTTTTCCCTTTTTTAAAAATTCACTCTCTTTCATTGCTTCTCTCATCACAGTTCTGGCATGTTTGCATTCATGTAGCTTCCAGCCAAGTTTCTTGCCAAGTCTTATGGCAATTCTCCCAGATCCCCTGATAACTTCATGGTCCATCAAGCATTTTCTCAAATATATTAGGCTGTTGACTTTTTAGTGCTCTGGTTTTTGTTTGGTTTTTTTTTTTGTTTTCAACTTTCCTGGCCATGTCTGGCAGCTCTGTCACGTTGTCTGGTGTGTTTTCTCTGCTGAGGTAAAAGGTGAGCAGTTTCAGTGTTGTTGGTGAGCAGACTTGGGGATAGCTTTCAAGAACAGGAGGCTAACCAGTCCTCTTCAGGGAATGGGAGTCTGAAAGTCCTCAGAGACCCAAAAGCCCTCTGACTTTGAAATTGTAGTAAGTCTCCTGCTGGAGTGTCCTGGGTTCAGCAGTAGCAGTCATGTTTTTCCTTTGTGTTAACTGGTGCAGTGCTGTGTTTTGACTTCTAGCTTGAGAACAGTGTTGGTGAAGCCGATGTTTTCGGTTGTTGCTAAGTGATGTTTACCCTGACCAAGGACTCTGTGAGGCTCATGCTCTGCCAGGGAGGAGGGGAAGCTGTGAGGAAGCAGGGACGGGGCGCCTGACCCGGGCTAGCCGGGGAGGTATTCCATACCACAGCACGTCATGCCCAGGGTGGGGGGTTAACTGGGAGTTACCCGGAAGGACACGGGGCTTCCGGGTGGGACTCGTTTTCTTGGCCGGTGGTATCGTATTCTCTTCCCTTGTTATTTTCCCTTATCATTGTTTTAGCTGATAGTAGCAGTGGTGATTTGTTGCTGGACTGTTCTTGTCTCAACCCGTAGGAGTTGCACTCTCTCGATCCTCCTCCCCGTTCCTCCGGGAGCGGGAAAGGGGAGAGCCCCGGTGCGGGGGGGGGGGGGGGGGGGGAGACGGACACGGACCTCGATTGTTGTCAGCTCGGCACCACTCACTGGGAGTGAGTGAACAAGTTACCTGACTGGGTTTAAACCACGACATGGAGTATCTCTTGAAGTTAACTGACAGAGGAAGGCAACTGACCCAGAGTTTCTCTTCCTGGTCTCAGGCAGCAGGCTGTGCAAGGGAATGTAGGACTAGTATCTCTTTCTTCAAAGTTAAGTGGCCTTTTTCGGGACATTAGAATATTACAGTGAAATTCTTTGTGGCAAATCTTAAGAAGGGAGAGAACTTTTCATTTTTGCTCAGAGACTCTCACATGTCTGAAGAATCCTTTCACTGTTTTCTTCAGGGCATTTGCTGTGGAAACGGGTCCACCTCGGAAAATTGCTTAAGTACTTTTGTTGAGGACTGTACAATGCTGATGCATGTGTGTCAGCAGAGCAGTATAAGGTGCTTCATCTGCAGCTTGTGAGCCACATCTAATCAAATATTTTGAAGACATACTGAATTAATATAACCAGATAGCACAATATATGCAGTGATTTTTTATACATATTATGAGTTGTAAGAGAACTGTAAGTGAAGCATGCCTTTTGCACACTTCTATGAATGCTTATCATTATTTTAGGCACTATGAAAACAATAGTACTATTGTAGCTGACACAGCATCCTTAGTGGAGTACAGTATCTTTATAAAGAATGGAGAACTTCTGGCACTTTGCCCAGTGGAACCCACAGAAATCTCCCAGGCTTCAGCTAACACTGGAATGTAAGTTAGTGGTTAGTTAACAGATGAAAGGCAGAACTACCATAGAAAAAAATAGAGAAATCTAAAGAGACCTAATCAAGATCTTCAGCTTCACTGGCCTCTGCATAGTAGTCAGAGATAGAAGAACCAGATTTAATTTTTTTGGCAAAATCCATTTTTCAGTTTTTCTTTTCATTCAACAAAGGAATGAAAGCAACAGCAATTTAAAAAAAGGATTGTTAGCCACAAAAGACATTTCTTAAAGAGAAAAAAGAAAAAAAAGGAAATTGTTGTGGTCAGTTTACATATTTTGCTTGTTAAAATCAAAACATTTTATCCTGACATTCTCTATTTCCAAACATTTTGAAACTTTTTATGTAGGAAAATCTCAGCACAATGGATTTCCATTCCAAAGCCTTATGAAACAAACTATTGTGGTGTTCCATTCTGTAACCAATGACACATGATGTTTTTTGACATTAAAAAATGGCTGGGTTTTAAAAAAGAAGTTTTTGGACCATCCCCTTTTTTTTTTTTTTTCAATTTGACATTTTTTGATTTTCATAGAAAATCTCCTGAAGTTTAAGTGCATTCTCTTCCTAGCCTATTAAGTTACATTTTAATCTGGAATCCAATCAGCATAAACCCTCTTCTCATATCTTATGGGCAAATGCAAAATATCATAGGAGCTCTAGAAAGAAATTATTGGAAAGGCATTGCAGTTGAAGAGAGAGTAACAGTGCAGGTAGATGCACCTTTATGTCCGCCAAAGATCTTTACTAAACTCAGAAGTGTATTATTTATTACTTACAAATAAATTACTATTATTTATTACTTACAAAATAAAAATAAAGAAGTTAAAACAAACCTAGGATTGGCTGACAAAAATATTTCTTTGTGTTATAAATATATATTTGACATATATTTTTAGTATTTATACCATGAAATATGAGTGCTGTTTACTATTTCTGTGGTTGTTCTTGTTAGCATCAATACTATCACTGCACAATGCAGTTTTTAGTTTTTAGTGTTTCTGCATGCTGTATATATCAGAAGAAATGAACTTTTTCATTCAATGGCCTGTCATCAGACTAGAATCCACCCATGTAAATTATATAATCGTTCCTAATTTTAAATTCTGTCTCATGACACTACAACTTGTTAGATATTTTGCCTTTTCTTAAGGACTAAGGAAGAGATTTTTCTCATAGATCCAACTAAGCTTATGGATAGAGCACTCCTAATGAAGCTGCTCCTTCCCTTAGGTGAATTTATGATGGCTAAGGAAGCTTCTTTAAAGAAAAAGACAGGAGAAGGAGGCAGTAAGAGGAAGTATAGTGATAAATTTGCCTTTTTTCTTATGCCATCAAACTGTTCACGAAAGCCAGCAAAAGCTTTGGCTGTCTTGATGACTGCATACATTTCTTCTTATCACAAACCTGAGCTGGAGCTACTCAGAAAAATCATAAAATGAGCCAGCTGCCAGGATCCAGTTTCATCTTTCTTTGTAATTGTTTTGTGGGTTGTTGTGCTTTTTTGTTTAGGAACTGAAAATATATTAAAAAAATCACCCCCACTTCTCCATCTATGAAAATTCTCTCATCTGTTGCTTATTGATGCTTTCTTATATGTCTTTTGAATACTGCAGCATTTTATTTTTTTTTAAATAATTTAGTGTTTCCAAACTTTACAGAGCTTTTGCCCAAAATATTCTTTTTTTTTTTCCCCCTGTTTCCGTAATCTGAAGGGTTATGGTACATATTTCTGTAGCCAAAAATGTATGATATTCAGTAATGGGTTTTTTTAAAAAAATGAAGTGACATCTACATGCTTTCACAAAAGCTGACACTGAAAATTGTTGTTCTTGGAACCCTGCCTGTCCATGTTTCCTCTCTAGCTGGTATTCACAAATGTGTTTCTCTCTGTCTCTCTCCCTCTCCTATTCTTTTTGTTTTCTCACTAATAGGAAGGGGACAAGCAATTACTCAGAGAAACAGCCACGCACCAGCTCAACCCAGAGCGCTATGTTCACACTTTTAAAGATTTGTCTAATTTCTCAGGATCTATAAACATTTCCTATCGCTACCTAGCTGGCACACCTTTGCCAAGGAAAAGTAAGTAACTGTAATCTGAATGTTACAAAATGAGATAATTTAAAAATGGCTGAAAACCACATAGTCCCTGTGATATTTCTAGGCAAGAGGGGCTGAGTTAATCAGTGACAATCTCAGAGTTTGTGAGACAGCTATCTCTCTCTGCACAGGCAGTTCCTGAGCAGCTGTTAGCTCATCCTGGCCTCACAGCTTGGTTACCTGCTGATCAGATGCCTGATTTGTAGTTATCCTGCAGACAGGACTTAGACTGTCTGTGGGAGCACACCTTTGTAGACCTCCTCACAGGCCAGGAGACGATTTAGAAAGCAGGAACAAGGCACATGCTGGTGGTGATCTATAACCACCCCAAGACTGTACTGTCAGCATCTGTCTGTATAAACAGTAAATCCAGTTTATGGTATGCTGGCTTCACATAGATACACCTTTCAGGTCCCCTGTTTGGCCAGTCCAACTGCTGTGAATAGGTCTCCTTGTTCATTTAGATGTGATAAGGAAGGTGAATTGTGCTATTATGGTGACAGTAAAGGAGGATTCTTCTTGCAGCCATCTTCAGATGGATTATCTAGATATTCTGACTCCAGGCAGGGTTCAAGACTTTCATCTTGAAGTGAAATACTGCCATACCTAGTTTTTAGACAGGTATCACCTTGTTTCCAAACTGATCATTTTAAGACATAAACAAGGGTCAGAAGTCCAAGCATAAAAGATAAAATAAAATCACCCATGATTTGTTGATATTCATAGAAAGCCACAAAAGTTTTTTTCAGATTAGATTTGAGAAATTTTGGGCTCTGCAGGCAGTGTAAACGTCTTCTGGGGGTTGTACTTCATTGTAAAAGTGCATTTTGAGCAGACTTAAGCCTTGGGAGAAACTCTGAATCAGTTTCTCAGAGCAGTCTTTTACAAAACACAATATTTTAAGAAAGTTGGGGTAGGTTCAACTGAAGTATGGCCTGTCAATTATAAAGTCTTAACGTTTTTTACATCAGAAGTTAGAAAAAATTAGATATATTAGAACATAGCATACTCATTTCGACTGCTGGCAAAAATGCAATGGCAGTGAATCCAAACAGCAGAGATGAATATTTTTCTCTTATAATTAAGATGCGTATCTCCCTAGAAAGATGTAACAGCATTAGAAAAATATTTATACAACCACAGGTATGAGGTAGTAAGCTCTTTTCTACTTTGAAATAATATCTAAATTACATTTTGTAACTGAAGTTCCCCGTAAAATGCTCAAGGAGTCCTGAAAGCTCGTTAGAAGAACTACTAGCAAGGTAAAATTGGACAGATTCAGTTAAAACTTAATACACAGAAAAATGTATTCATGCAATGTTCATAAAAATGTAAAATTATGCTTAAGTGTAACTAGTCTTGTAGAGTGCTTAGAATGATAAAAGTTTGGCAATGAATTTTAGTTGCTGTACTGCATTTTGTTGCTCCTTGTGTGAATCATATCTCATAATCCCGTATCTTTTAGCAGATTTTAGAGCCTTATCATTGTGTGTGTGGTTTCCTCTACCAGGCATATCCGTGCACATTGCTTTGGCTTTTGTCCACTACATGCCATTCCTTGCAGTTAACAAGTGAATGTTTAATGCAACAGTCTTCTTATGTCTATTTGCTTGTTATGTGATTCTTCTTTCATGAAAAGGCAATAAACATCCTTTGTTGCATTCAGCTTAGTAAATTCACATACCAAATTTCTCAGTCTTCACTATTTTTTATAGTGAAGTTTTACTAGTTTTATATAATATAAGCACAGCTCTGGAGAATAGCTTTGTGGTGGAATTTTGCCAATGTGAGATACTCAGTTTTTCTTTGAATTGTCTTTTGTACAGGGTATCTTACAATTGGGCTATCCTCTGTGAAACGGAAGAAAGGAAACTACTTGCTTGAGACCATCAAGTCCATATTTGAGCAATCAAGTTATGAGGAACTCAAAGAAATTGCAGTGGTAGTGCAACTGGCAGATTTTGACTCAGCCTGGTGTGAAGGGATGGTCCAGGATATTTCACAGAAATTTGCACACCACATAATTGCAGGCAGATTAATAGTGATTCATGTCCCTGAGGAGTATTATCCTGTACTGGATGGTCTCAAAAGAAATTACAATGACCCAGAGGACCGTGTGAAGTTTCGATCCAAACAAAATGTAGATTATGCCTTTCTTCTTAACTTTTGTGCTAATCTTTCTGACTATTATGTGATGCTAGAAGATGATGTTAGGTGCTCAAAGAATTTTTTTACTACTGTTAAGAAAGTAATTACCTCACGAGAAGGGTCTTACTGGGTGACTTTGGAATTCTCCAAACTGGGTTACATTGGAAAGCTTTACCATTCCCATGACCTCCCACGCCTGGCCCATTTTTTATTGATGTTCTACCAAGAAATGCCTTGTGATTGGCTGCTTATCCACTTCCGTGGGCTGTTGGCTCAAAAGGAAGTGATACGTTTTAAGCCATCTCTGTTCCAGCACATGGGATACTACTCATCTTACAAAGGAGCTGAAAACAAATTAAAGGATGATGATTTTGAAGAGGAATCATTTGATATCCCTGACAATCCACCTGCAAACTTACACACCAACATGAATGTATTTGAAAACTATGAGGCAAGCAAGGCTTACAGCAGCATTGATGAGTACTTCTGGGGCAAAGCTCCTTCTACTGGAGACTTCTACAGGATTGTATTTGAAAAGCCCATTAAAATCAGTAAAATTAAAGTTGTCACTGGAACTGAGGACCGGCAAAATGACATTTTGCATCATGGAGCCCTGGAAGTAGGAGAAAAGATTGTAGGAAATAAAAATGGGAGACAATGCACCACTTACTTGAGATTAGGGGAATTCAAAAATGGGAATATTGAAATAACAGATGTAGAGCACAAAGTTCTGTTTGATATTAACTGCATGAGAATACTTGTTACCAAAAGTCAAAAAGAATGGCTGATCATTAGGAGCATTAGCGTCTGGACTTCTCAAACACCAAATCAATAAAGTAAAGCCACCTGAGAAGGTTCAGAATGCATAGTCATCTGGGTCCCCACTGGTGCCATTCCCTAGAAAAACTGACATTTCCAGCTCTTCACTAAAGACACAAAAAATCTGGGGAAATCACAAAACAAGCAAAGCAATTTATTTTTTACTAGCTTGGCCAGGCAATATACAAACATTTGCTGAAATTTTTGAATTTTATAGGAAAAGCAAAGTTCTCAAACCTCACTTGAGATCTTGAAACCCTTTTTTATTAACATTTCTCTGTGAGAGAGATCATCTGGACTAAACAGGACTAAACAAAGCATCCTATAATTACCAAAAGTTTTAAAGATATGACCAGTTCGTTGTGAAAAGAAATAAGATTGCACTTTATGCACATATAAATTTAAAATGTTGTGGTAGTATGCACTTGTACAATAGCTGGTGATGTGTTTCTTTTAAAGGCAGTTGTGACAAGGAAATCTGACCTGAAACTGGCAGTTTCATTCTGAGCACTGTAAGAAAATAGCGTGGCTAATCATTGCTACTCCTTTTCAAAAGGGAATGTATGTAAAATTATAAATCTGACATGACAACTATGTATAAAATACATAATTGCATCTGTTAGCCTGTCTTAACAAATATCTTTTGTTCTTTTTCCTGTGTCCTTTCACTGAAACAAGCACTACTTGGATTCTATATTTCTTAGGGGACCAATTTACTCTCCTTATTCAAAAATGATGCCTCACAGTAAGCAAGAGCTCTGCTTGACTACAGATGTCACTATCAAACCCAAGCACCTCAAGGGCAACACTGTTTACTTAGACAGGCATCTTAACAGATCTCAGCTTCAACATTTTCTGTTCCTTCGCAATATGCAGTACTCTCTGTGAGGAATTTTCACATAGATAAATACTACAGCATGCTTTCAAAGACCTGCTATGCCTTCCATATCTACATTTACAGTCCATGTATGATACAAATGTAAAGTGTACCAGATTAACCAATTGGAGGTGAATGTAATCACCAGTCTTTCCCAGATGATGTCTAGCCAATAGGCTGGACACAAAATGAAGAATCTTGATTCAATGAAAAGGTAATACGTTTCTAAGTTTACTTCCCCCCCACCACCCCCACCCCGCCCCCTTCAGTTTTCTAATTCTGATCATGTTAGTTTTGTAGACAACTTCCCACTGCCTTGGTTATTCCCTGTAAGCTTATTTTGCTTGGCTTTATGCAGTAAACAGAAAAGTTCCCTCAGTCCTCATGACTGCAGCATCAGATCTGGTCTTTTAGTCCATCACACGAGGAGATTGTACAGCTGTATGATATATACCATTATGCATACATTTGGATTAGCAGTATCCAGGGGAAAGGTCCTCTAAGAAATTATTTAGACTTTCTCAGAAGACACAGTAAGAAAACCAGGAGTATCAAGTGTGACAAAGATGATTGCTGTATTAGAAATCTTATGAATACTGTAGTTATCAATTGCATGCATAGGTTTTACTTAAATATGGAAGGCAAGGGTTAAGTTTCAAGAATGCCCGCACTGACCAAGACTGAACAAATTACTATACTCAGTACATCCAAACTTAACATGGCTATGGGTAGGGTAAATTATTAAAAAGTCTACACAAAATAGCAATGCAATTACTTTTCCTGGTTCATAAATCATGATAAATTCGGTTTAGGGTTTGGAAAATCCCCCAGTACAGAGAAAAGGTAAATTTTAAATAAAATCTGATATATCGGAAGATATATCTACGTAATTCAGAAAAGCACCCTCTTGTCAAAAAAAGTCTTTGTTTATTAATGCACATTTAAATCTATTATTTATATACATATATTCATTACAATATACTGGAAGAGGCATACACATTCACTTCTTCAAGGAAAATTACACAATTCTTTTAATTAAAAATATGCGCTAATCTCAAATGGTTATGAATATTTATGATGGACTTTTTAACAGTGATCTTCCAGTAACTAGTTGATAATTAATCATTAGTCAACACTGTTTTTTTTCATTAACTGTTATTCTTCTATTTTTCCTTTCCTTGATCATTAACCATTAGTACCAAAGCAAACATAACTAGGTTAACCAGCAGTGTTGCCCTTATCTTTATTCAGAAATGCAGTCCAACTCAACCTTCTAAATTAGAATGAAAAATATACTTACCTTGAGGTTTAAAATTTTCTTGTAATCAAAATGGACTGCTAGTATGAATTAAATGCTCTCAACATAAACCTGAAGTGACTTACATGATATTTTTGAATTATCAGCTAAACAAAACTGCTTTCTTTTTTGAATCCACAGTAGTAATGAGTCTGATCTTCCATAACATGTCTCAGCAGTGAGAAAGAACGCTCATCTGGCTGTTACCAGTCTGAGAGGATCAAACCCTCAAAGGAGTTCCCTCAAAGGAAGCTTTCTTTGGGGGTAGATAGTGGTATGTGCTGGGAATGAGAGGCATACACCAGTCTTCCTGTTGAATTTGAGTTGATTTGGAAAAAAACAGCTAACAGTATGTTTATTGCAGGACAGGTAAGAAAGCACTTCTATAAGCTAGTGTTTTGAGCACTCACCTTAATACATGGGTCCCAGCTTTCCTTCACAGAGTGTATATTTTATCCAACTTATTCACATGAACAAGGTTGCCAAAAAAAAAAAAAAAAAAAAAAACCCACAACAAAAAGCTTTACAAAGATTTCAGAAAATTATGTTTGAAGATTTTTTTTCTTTCGTTGTGTGCTAGGAAAAGTGATTTCCTCTAAAAGAGAATTACTTAATCAGACATGCGTATGTTCACTAATACTTCTCAAAGTTTGGATTTCCTTTTTTTTCACTGATAAAGCAGAACATTATCAGCGTCACAAAGCTCTATTCATTGGTGTATACTGTTGGTTCTGTTGGTGTGTATTTCCACGGGTTCATTTGTGGACTGAAGACTAAACATCAATATTTTCACACTGAAATGCCAATACAGAAAATATTACACTGTGGTCTGCTCAGTGATAGATCTATTCTTCACTAATGTATATGTATTGTTCCTATTGACACTGTTTGGGTTTCCTCATTGTATAATGTCCCTGGGCCACTTTTTCTTTTCTTAACTAAAAGTCAGTTTGTCTTCTTTCTTCACACAGTATAATTCCTCTGACATAGGGAATTCTTGGGAAGTAAAATACTACTCATTAAGAATTAAAAGAACTGAGTCCACAGTTCACTGCAGAAAAGCAAATACAAAGACAGTAATTTTTAAGCAAAAAAGTGATAGCATATTTACTGTATGTGTTATATTAAAAATAATTCACTAAGGTGCTCTATGAATTTGTTATTTTTAGATCAGTGCTCTAACATGATCCTCTTTTTCTTTCTGCTCAATATTGTGTTGTGTTAGACATATGTTTTTGCTTTTACAAAGGGAAGTAGGGAACTTGTTCATTATTGAATAATTAACATTTAAATTAAAGAGTAAACTATAACACCTTACAAAATATTTCATCTTGGACAACTATTAAAGAAAGAAAAAAACAAACAATCAAACCAAAACCATGTCTAACCATCTTCAAAATTGCAGCTTTCACTGTGAAGCATTTCAAAGATTCTGATGGAAATGATAGTCCGTTCTACTCTCATAGCAAGTTTGAAGTTTTGTTAAGCTATATTACAATAAGTATTTAAATATAAGCACTAATGCAGATCATGTATCATGAGCTCAGGGAGTGTCATATCCTCAAATAGTTAAAAGTACAGGTATTCGTGACCTTTAGCAGAACCATCAGGCTTGTAGACTAAAGCTAGGCTGCTGCAAAAAATTGAAAGAGGAGCACAACCAGAACTAGCTCAGTGTACAATGGTTGTCTAAGATCTGTTTCTCTCTACTGACTATGGTAGGAGCCTATGCAAGTGGCTTGGCCCAAATGTTAATTTCCTGGACAATTAGAGACACAGGAGATCTGTTTCCTTTGCATGATTGCATATAAATCTAGATAAAAGCATGTGATACTTACAAACCTTTACAGATAATTTCCTATCATTAGCACCACTCTTCACAGCAGGGATGCTCAGTATCTTCTTCATAAATACTATCCTGCAATTTCAATGAAAACAATTTGTTCAGCTTTAAAATAAGGAATATGAATCTCCCCCTTGAATCTAACACATTATTTATTACAGGTTAGTTTTAAAATTAAATTAAGTGCAGAGAAATATTAATTACAATAACATCTCCATAACAGTAATTTGTTCTTAAATTGGCATCTGGGCAGATAGTAGACTGTTTTTCAGCCACATTTCTAGATGTTTTTCAACTGTCAAACTACCTACTACAATATCCCAAATAAAATTCCACTTTGTCTTGACAGTTGTAAAAAGGGTCCTAAAATTCCACATAGAGCTTGAAAGTACTTTAAGTAGGGTTATATTGCTAATTAAACCCTTTGCCAGCCCTTTGCTAGGCTTATGTAAGAGTTTCACATTTAATGAGTAAAGCTGAACATCAAAAGCTGATGCTCATTTCCTCCATTCAGCTGGCTAAATAGCTGCCTTCCTTCTATCTTGCTACTTATTAACATTGGTTTTGCTTTTGCCACTTCAGGAAAACCTGCCTGACAGCTAGGGAAATCTCAGGCTACAAATTCTCAAAGGTACAGAGTTTGTACATTAAGAAATGTTCCCATTTCTTAACAGACGTACCATTTTTTGAAAACTAGCCTAAGCACAGTGTTCAGTTTCTTGGGCTCTCCCTTGGTGTTACTAGAAGTGGATTTTCTTCCTAGATAACTACATCAAGCAGTAAAAAGAAATATTACCAGGGAAAAAAATAATTGCTATGCAATTAATTTTTAAAAACAAGTTAAAAGTTGATCAGGCTTCATCTATCCTGAACAATTTAAGTGCTTTTTTGCTGTCTCCATAAAAGAAAGAAAAAAAAAAGTTTTATCCTTAAAAAGTATTGCCTTGGGCATGCACATTGAAGTAGTACACAAAGAACAATATTTGCCCTATTTGCAGTACACAGAGAACAATATTTGCAATGTTGGAATACTTACGTCTACCAGAGTGTGGGTGGAAATGTAACAAGGATTAGTTACTATCCTTGCTACAATACCTGTAATATTTTTCAAAATAAATGTAAGATATGTAAAGACTCTTTGGCTTAATGCCCTTCTCTTTAATCACTATACCATTCAGTTTTCTTTTAACTGTAGATACCACATTTTCAGCTTCTTAACCTGGGCCAAAACTGCATACAACCCAAGAGGACACAGCATAGTTCAAAGGAAATTTGAGAACAAGTTATTGTATGCTGTGCTTCCTCAAATGCATGTTTACCTTGTTCTGATAACCTGGATTTAGAATTCCTGCCAAATGGCACTCTAGATAGGCAGTTTAAAATGCTTTGTTGTTTTGTTTTGGTTTTTTTTTCCTTATTATACCTTTCACAGCTAAAAGCAGAGATCTTAAGGTAAAAGTTAAACCCTTACACCAATATTTGCTGCTACTAAAAGTCCCTTGCTTTGCACTGATGCCATTTGGCATATTTCAGTTCATCTGCAACTTTAGAGTCTAATTTCATGTTACATCTTCAACAGCACACACAGGTATTCCCTCCCTCTGT